AGCTCGTTAGGTCTTTGATGTGCATCTCTTGCCAAGCTGTTACGTAAAACCCGCCAGGGATGGATGAAATTACGTTCTTACAGGCCTTTCTATTTAAGCATTGAAGAATCATGTTAAATGAATCTCGAGGACAGGCTTGCTAGTTCTCATCTTGCCGAACCATCTTGGATGATATCACATAACCTCTCTGTGTAGTTTCTTTTCTCTCAGAAAAAGGCCCAGCACAGCAACCACAAGTACCCACCCCCCAAGCAACCCAACAGGGTAACCCTGGTGCACACCTGTCTGTCTCAGGGACAGACCAGGGGCTGTCCAGGGTGCTCGGGGCCCGGGACAGGCTCCAGGGTGTTTGCTTAAGCAGAAACATGCCTTTCTCACGTCCTGGAAATTAAAACGTGAAAAAGGCTCCTGGGCAGTGAGGTTTCAGGATTGTCCTCTAGCGCTCACAACTACAGGAAGTGCCTATGGGGCCATTATCTTTGCACAGACATGGCTTTCTGAGTAGGCAGCTCAGTCTTTCAAGACAGGATGAGGGGGAGGCCATGGTATGATGTGCCACAGACTTCCTGTGAGGTAGAAACTGAGTGGGAAGAACCTTAATTTCAGGGGATGATGCATACCAGGTGGTCTCCAGGGTGTACTTGGTTGAAGATTGTTCCAGCTCTGAGGGGCCCCAAAAGATTCAGGTTCCTTGGCTTACAGACTCCTGTTCCAGAGGTGGCCTGGAGGACGCCACACCACAACAGAAATAGCTCTGTCAGCCACCAGGATGAGGGCTCAAGCTAGTGTCAGCTGAGCGCCTGCAGTCTCTGCTCTGGTCTTGTGCTGGGGCCCAGCAGGAGCCAGAAGGAATGGACCTGGTCCTGCCCTAGGTGAACTAGAGGTCGTTCCATGCAGAGGGCCTAATACGTGTCAGGCACTATCCCAGGGAGATGAGAAGTAAGCCAGAGAGAGGGTGCGAGCTCTCATGGAGTTTTCCATTGACTGGAAGCATCCCATAAAAGCTAAGCAGCGTCATTTCACATGGCGATGGCCACTCTGAGGAAGTGATGTGTGCAGGCATAATGGGCAGCAAGTTCCAGTGTGCTGTGCGGGCCAGGCAGCCTCACTGAAGGAGACCTGAGCTGGGACATGTGTGATGAAAGACGCCAACTAGCTGAAGATCCAGAGCCAGGGCAGGACCAGCGAGCACAGAGACTCAGAAGTGGGGCTGGGTTGGGTGTATTTGAGAGGGAGTAAGAAGTTCAGTGACTGGGGGCTTGTGAAGGAGATGGAGAGTGGGATGGTCAGAGGGCTTATGGGCCAGATCATATGGAGCCTGAACCCCTAAGAAAGAAGCATGGACTTTGGCTAGAGAAACTGGGAAGCCATGGGGGGAAGTTTCAGGAGAGAGGGGGGTAATTTAGCTCCCCTTTTACTGGTGTTTGTCTTTGTCTTTTAATCTAGGCAGCACAACTCTGTATGTGATTGAGGGCAGTTGTATGTCACCACCCCACACCCACCCCCGCCTCCAGGGCACCCACTGTGCCCCTCCTTTCTCCTTCCCCTCTGGTAACCTCAACTACACAGTCAAATTTCTAGAGTTTGTTACTAGTTTGGTTCTCTCTGACCCTTTGTTCCCTTTCTCTACATGCTACATGTAAGTGAACCATCTGACATGTCATGTGTCTTTCTCCTGCAGGGTTATTTCACTGAGCATTTTCCCCTCTAGCTCCCTGGGTCCTCCATGGCTGAGCTGGCTTCCGTTGTGTATAGATGTGGCACCTCTTCCTAGTCCACTCCTCTGTTGCTGGGCACTTGGGCTGTTTCCACAACTCAGCTGTTGTACATAGGGCTGCAGTGAATGCAGGAGTACAGATAGCTTCGAGTTCGTGTTTTTGCCTCATCGGGCAGATACCTGGGAGTGGAATTGCTGGACTGTACAGTAAGTAGCTCTATGTTCAATCAATTAATTTGGAAAATGAATTGAGGACCAGCAGAGGTGACTGAGGAGAAACTTTTAATAAATCAGCTGAAGAGCTGAGATTAACATATATGAAATGATTAACAACTGTTAGAAGCTAAGCTCTGGGGTAGCCCCACGGCTTCAAGGTTGGGATAATGTCACTGGCTCATCTCTCCAAATTACCTCAGATTCCTGTTGGCCAAGAGAAGCTTGCCCCAGGTAAATTACTGACCAAATTCCACTATAATTGAAATGTCAACTGCATCATGTGAATCAGGCATTGCTTTGTTTATTTGACATTTATCTACTTAGACACCTTCATGGGGTTGCACCATGCAAAGGGTTAGGATTTTTAACTAAGGGTGAGCTAAGTGGGTCTGGGCTAACTATCTTGGCTCTTATAGCCTCAAGGATCTTGGGTTCAGCTGCTAGAAGGTGGGTTGGTTGGCCTTTGCAGTGACTTGCTACAATAGCCACAGGCAGACTACATCACTATACAGGGAGCTTGTTAGAAATGCAGGGTGCTGGACACACCCTCCCCTATTCCTACTGAATCAGAATCTGCATTTAACAAGACCCCCCCAGGGGGGGTGTAGGATGTAGCACATGGTTTTCTGTGACAGGGGACATGCTCAAGTTCCAACCTGTATTTGTTCATCTGCACCCCGCATGCAGGGGTCTGGCTCACCAGCTCATGGAGAAAATTCGTGGCTATAGAACTTGATTCTTAGTTGCATTCTGGCTGCATGTTTGTCATCGGCATACAGGCATGTGTTGGATCTCTTAGCACATCCACAACAAAGAGGAATTCATCAGTGTGATGAATGGAGCCATCCCTAGGAATAAATGCAATTCATTAAGCAAATAATATTTAAGAGGTTCCAGTTTTGTTCCCTCACGGGGGATTTTAGCAAGGCTTCTTTTCCTCATCTTTTGGCTCAACTGAGAGATGAGCTGCTAAGCGCACTGGCAGTCATACTCCTGGGCTATCAGTCAACTGGTCACCACCTGTTTGTCGTCGTGCTGTGCAGAGGACTGTCTTGTGCCTAGGCCCTGCTGGGCATGTGCACAGAGCCCTAGGGAAGGCCGCTTTCCCATCCCACCCCGCCCCTCCTACTTGCTGGCTTTACTTATGTGTGTACTGGCACTCCCTCTGGTCACCCCTTCCCCTGGAACAATGCACTCTGTATTCCAAAGACCAGAGAATTTGATAGAGATATTAGACTTGTAGGCATTTATCTACACACACATGAGGAATTGGTGACAAAAGTTATATGCACAAAGACATACATATGTACATTGAAAAAAATGTAGAAACCAAGAACTTTGAAATTTTAAAAAGATTCACATTATTTTCCTAAACATAGCTGAATGAGTTGCAGTCTCATTTAGTGGCCCTTGGTCTACTGCTCATCAACACCAACCCTCTCTGTAACTACTTACAAAGCATCCAGTCTGGTCCCTTGGGAGAGCACCTACAGCATGATTTCGTGGCTTTCTCCTGCCTCGGTAGGACTCCTGGCTCCATTTAAGAGTGTGGTACGGTGGGCTGGGACACGCTGGGCGGGCGTGCCATGGGCACCCACTCATTCACCTAGTACCCTCTCAACCCACCTATAGCTAGCAGGTGTTAGCCTCGCACAAGCCTTTCCTCTGATAGCCGCCTCCACCAAAACCCCCGAGCTAGTTCTTGGACTGAAACCACCTTCCTGCACAGTGAGTGTCGGGTGTTGTGTCTTTCCCCTGTTGACTAGAACTGGGGTAGTGCCTTCACATGTGAGCATTGGGAGACTCCCAAAACTATCCCTACCTCAGGTGAGTGAGACCATTACCCCTGCTTTCCAGTAAGCGTCTTGCTAAGTGTCAGGCTGGCGGGAGACCCTATGGACACACCCTCAAGCTTGGAGAGGCCTCGTGCCACGTTGACCTCAAGCCCGGCAGCCCACAGAAGCTGCCTCACAGCCTCTGCTTGGCTCCCACACAGTGGGTCTCTCCAGCAGTCACTTTCCTCATCTTTGTGGCATCCCAGTGGGAACCGTTCAGCCCCCAACCAGTGAGGTCGGTGTCCTCACTGATTGGGGCTGTCTACCTCCACTCACTGATGCTGGTCCCCTGCAGATGAGCTACCTGGCCCACGCATGTGCACTGAGCTGCTCTCAGGGAAGGCCATCGCCCGCTAACTTCAGCTCCCTGGTTGCTCTAAGTGGAGAGAAAAGGCAAATTTGCTAAGCCTTAGCCTAGAAATAGTACAATGGGGACCTGTGAGACTACAACCTAATCCCAGATTCCTGGTCAAGCTTATCTGTTCAAAAAAGACCTCATTCCTGGTAAAGCTTATCTGTTCAAAAAAGACCTCCTACCCCTTCATCATCTTGCCTGTCTCCCCAGTCATCAGCTTTGACCAGCAAGCTGCCAAGTGGTGGCCGCCGTGGGTGACTGAGTGACAGTGAGTTCCAAGCTTGGCCAGGGGTGGGCACCCGCCAGGCCCACACCAGAGACTGGCTCTGCTGGGTGCCTACCCTTGCCAGGCTTTGAAACACAGGTAGCCACAAGATGCCATCAGGCAATTAGAACACCCACTGCTCCCTTCCAGTCCCACCAGCACCACCCCTTGCCCAGCCTCCTCTCCACCCCCAGTGCCCAGGCACATCATCTGTGTGTGGCTCTCCCAAGTCAGCCTGCCTTGATCAGAGAAACCATCTGCCTCCTCCAGACACAGAGTGGCGGGTCTCCCCACACATTGCCCAGCGCCCCTCACCCCCCTTAGAGATGTGTTCTGTGGAGCAGAGGGAGCTCAATTCTGACACACAGTACAGTTTTCTACCTGAGTTCCATCAGTCAGCTAGTGACTGCTGTGTGCAAGGTGGGGTAATACCTTCACGTACGTGAGCATTGGGAGACTCCCAAAACTATCCCCAATTCAGGTGAGTGAGACCATTACACCTGCTTTCCAGTAAGCGTCTTGGGAAGAGAGGAGGCACAGCAAAGTCACGGTCCACAATAACCTTGTGTGGCTGGGAAGACACTTAGAAGCAGCTCCACACGCACACAAGTGACACAGAGGCCTGTGACGTCAGTGCTCACGCACTGGGCGGGAGAGCGCAGGAAGCTGAAGGGAGACAGGTAGCTCTGCCGGTCATCAGCGCTGGTGGCTGGCTCAGGTGTGCGGCGAGGACCTGTGGTGAGCGGGATGATGGAGGAGGAGTCAGACAGGTTTGCATTGGCTGCCTAGTTATGGTGAACATGTCACTTTTGTAAATTCTAAAGAGGAATTTTATTTTTTTGAGATGGAGCATTTAGAGAAGGTTTTCAAGAGGAGGGAGAAATTGACAAAGATCTTAGAGAATGAATTGGAGATTCTTAAATCTGACTGGACAGGAGGGGGTTCAGCACCCTGGAGGAGACCAAGCGGTGGTAACAGGCAGGCCTGTCCCAGGGCCTCGTGCTTCGGGTGTGGTGACATGACTTTGCTGAGATCCAAAGGCTCGCGTGGAAAGGAGGGAGTGAACAGGTGGGGGCGGACCTGTGGCTCAGAAGCTTGCTGAGGGCGTTGGCTACCCTCCAGGTAAAGAGACCGATTGAAGGTCAGTGTTGGGTGAGGACAAGCGAGGGCTGGGGGTGAAGAATGAGGAAAGGGGTGTGCTCAGATGAAAGAGGACACGCTCTTCGTGTGACTGTGACGGTGGGGTCACATAGGAGCCCAGCCTGTTGTCCGTGGGGACAAGAGGTGGGTGGGCTCGGAGGCTGACAGAAGGTACACAGAGAAACTTGTGGGAGCTGCCTAGAGAGACTGGGGAGCAGGAAGCTCAGTTCTTGCAGGATGGGGTCACTCTATAGAGAGGGCTGGGAGGTCGGGGTCACCGGAGATGAGGCAGCCTGAGAAAAGTGGTGCCATCTTCAGAAACAAGTGCAGGGCCTGCTGCCTGCCGGGGTGGGTGGGGGCCTTTCCAGCACCCAGGACACCGGTCTGGAGCCTTCTCTTTGCCTGTCACAGATAGCAGAGGGAGCCCGGCCAGACAGTGAGGAGTGGCACAGAGAAGCAACGTCATTACAGTCCTAACCTCTCACTGAGGCCAGAGTCTCTCAAGCCAGGGAAGAGAAGGTCTGGGGGGGTTGGGGGGACGGAGCTTACCTGAGGAGACCTGTACCCCACCACTATGCCCCTGTCCCTGTCACCTGTCTGCCTCCTCCCTCATAAAAGACATTCTGAAGAAGTTCAGGCCTCTCATCTTTGGGTCCTCCACAGGTACAGAGATGGCAGGTCTGAATGTGGCCCGAGCTTGGTGAGTAGGCATGGCCAGAGGGGCCAGAGGGAGGCGTCTGATGAGCAATGATGGCTGGCCCAAACTGACCCCTCGCGCAGACTGTGCTCTGCAGTCCTCACCACTTTGAGAAGGGCACAGTGAAAGGACCCTGAGGCTTAGGTCATTTCCCCTCTGAGCTTATCAGAGGAGCCAGGAGCAGACAAGGTGGGACGGGAGCCCCACTCCACAAGGGGCTGCACTGCCTGTCCTCTTGAGGCGGCCTTGTGGGGAGCACGCCTTCTCAGGCCTGGGGTGCTGTCCTGCTCCCCCAGCCTGACTTCCCTGCCCAGAGGAGGCTGTCGGCCTCCAGACTGTGTGCGATCCCGTGGGCACCTGGCCTTCCTCTCCACCTCACGCAGTGCCTGGAAACCTCCAGTCTTTGACTCTGAAACTGCTGTATTTTGGCACTGGGGAATCAGATGTTAGGGCCCCCGAAGGAACACTGTTTGTTTTCATTCCAATTTCTGTTGTTGCCAACCACCCAGGTAATTAAGGCAGAAATGCCTGACAGAGTTCATTGATTTTCAGCATGTAGGGAGCTGGGTGTTTGCTTTGTGGAAGGAGCGCTGTGTGCTGATCACCAGGGAAACACACTGGCCTGCCTCACGCTGTTGACAGGAGCTTCTGCAGATGCAGAACAGGGCCCCACGCTCACACGCTCAGTTTGAGTCTCTTGGCCACAGGAAGCAATGTCAGTTCCTCGCAGTCATAAACAGGAAGAACTTATTTTTCTGCCAAAAAACTGGGCTTGGTGGGTCATAACACCAACATCTAGTTGCTGTTAGCACCATTGCCGCGATTGCCATCACCATTTCTGTTCATTACACAGCTCAGCTTTCATCAACAGGAAGTTGATTCCCAGTCTGTTCATATTCAAGCCTAGTCCCCTCTGCCACTGGCTTTTTGGCCCTTTTTTCCATTTTTACTGCTGATCAGTGCCTCCACCAGCAAGTGGGGGAAGCAGTCAAACAGCTCACAGCGGCTGTGGAGACTGCATGTGCCAGGCTGCACCAGCCACTGCCTTCATGACTAGCTCCCCATCGCCTCTGTGTCTGTGCCCCTTGCTAACATAAGTTCTCATACGCTATTTTTCAAAACAGCTTTATTGAGGTACAAAAGACATGCAGTTAACCACACAGATGAAGTTGCAGATGGGTAAGTGCAAACACCATCACTGTCCTCAAAGCTAATGAACATCCATCCCCCTCCCAGAGTTTCCTCATCTCCTTCGCCGTCACTCTCCCTCCTGCCTCTCCTGTGTCTCCTCCACGCCCCTGGTCCCAGGCAACCTGGACTTCTTTGTGTCCCTATCAATTTTCTAGCATGTTATGTAAATGGAATTAGACTGTGTACTCTCTTCCTGTCTAACTGTATCCACCCTGAAAAGTTACTTAGCCGTGTAGCTGCGTGATCACGTGATTACCACAGGCGGCTCAGCCGTCACACAACACGTAGGGTGTATTAGACCTTTGTGTAGGTGCAAGAAAACTGAGAACTGTTTGGGGCTCTTAACTTTCCTTTATGTCCCAGAGCAGTGGTAGCTGTGGTCAGCACGTTGTACCTTGCACGTCTTGTACTTATTTATCACAAGCTGAAAGTTATTACCTTTGGGCCACCTTCCTCCCCCGTCTCGCCCCATCTTCTGTCCTTGGTAACCACATATCTGATCTCCTTTTCTCTGAATTTGGTTTAGTTTTTTTTGGTTTGTTTGGTTTTTTTTTTTTTAGATGTCAGATCATACAGCATTTGTCTTTCTCGGACTTAGTTCACTAAGCAGATTGCCCTCAAGGTCCACCCATATTGTCGCAAGTGGTAGAACATTCACATTTTTTTAATGGCTGAAAATATTCGTGTGTGTTTACACACACACACTATCTTCAACATTCTCCATCTGCAGATCCTTAGTCTGTTGCTACAACTTGGCTATTATAAATAAGGCTGCGCATGAGTTGGGAGACATCTTTCGGGGGCAGTGTTTTCATTTCCTTGGAATACAGACCCGCAAGTTGGGGGTCTGTTGGAGCTTCTGGTAGGTTTGTTTTTGTGGCACCTCCATGTTGTTTTCCACATGGCCGCACCAACTTACATTCCCGCCGCCATCACAAAGTGTCCCCTCGCCTGCATGCCCCTCTGACATTGGCTCCCCCTCCTCCTGCCTGCCGGCCAGCCATCCCAGCAGGTGTGCCGGGATATCACATTGTGGCTTTAATTTGTTTCCCTGATGTTGAACATCTTTACACACGCCTCTCGGTCTTCTTCTTTAGGGAAATGTGTGTTCAAGTCCTCTGTCCATTTTTCAAGGCTTGTTGTCTTTTGCTAATGAGTTGTATGAATCTGTGTTTGGGGAATGTGAAGCCTTTATCAGATACGTGGTTTGCAAAGACTTTGCCCCACTCTGTTGGTTGGTTTTTCATTTTGTTGATGGTTTCTTTGGTTGTGTAGAAAAAAATTTTTTTTTTCAGTTTGATGTGGTCTCACTGATTGATTTCCGGCTTCATTGCTGTGCTGTTTGCACCATATCCCTCCATTGCTGTGTGGAGAACGCCACTGTCGTGCCTCTTGCCCACCCAGAACATTCTCTTCCTGAATTAGGGTACATACCGGAGAAATGGGGGAACTAATCCAGCTGTGTTTGTCTCCTCATCTCAGTTTGTTTGGAGGAGAGAGAATATGAGGAACTGGGGAACGGTATGGAAATCAGAAGAAAAACAAAAGGAATAAAGGAACAGAGTGAGGCTTAGAAGGGAAGTTTAAAGGAATCATTAAGGTTGAAAAGCAGAAAGCTGAGAAGTAATTGAGGGCTATGACCTTTTTCAAATATGCAAAGGTCATTTTTAAAGCAGGCAATGGAGTAAGAGTTGAGTGGACTCCACTTGAGGTGAAAATGCTGGGTGATGCAGGAAGAGTTGAGCAGACCCACCCCCAAGTGGCCAAAGAGGACACAGCCTGCAGGAGGGCTGGATGGCCGCAGCTCAGCTTCTGGAAAGGCCGGGGCTGTGATGCGCTGTCCGTGGCAGACCTTGGATGGTTAAGATTCTTGAGAATCCAAAGACCGACACAACTCCGAAGGGACCAACTTTCCATATAACATTTTTCTTCCTAATGTTATATAGAAAGTTTCTCCTGAGTTTGATCCTGTTTTCAGAGCACACATATGGGGTCACACAGGACTTGTTACCTGCCTTACTTCATTCAGCAAAATGCCTTCAAGACCCAGATCCTACAACGTGAGCCCTTGCTCCCAGACGGTTGATGTCCCTTCTCTTGCACTCTGTCTAGGAGCCTGGCGGCGCAGGCCAAGTACTTGGGGACACGAATGCAGGGCAGCCTGGTGCGTGAGAGCCTGGCCACCTGGGAAGTGCTGAGTCTCCGGCTGGGTGGGCTTGCTGCAGCTCCTGCCACTGACTGATCAATTGCTGAGAAGGCAGTTGTAAGGAGCAGGCCTGAGCACCAGTGTAACCTCTTTGCTTCCCCGCTGACAGAGGGCTTGGCCTACGGCTGGCTTCAGGAAAGAAAGATGCAGCAGAGATCATGGCCTTGGCCTCTCCGGCAGCTTCCCACTTTGCCCAAAAGTTGGCCTCCCAGACCCTATTATATAAACTTTGGCTCTAAAAATAGTCTCATTTCAACTTTCCTTTTCTCTTGCCCAGCCCCTCTAGAACTTCTTACTAGAACTTTTTTCTAATGCGCTCTGTTTATACCTTGGAATCCAGTCCCTGGCAGGCTCCAATTATGGTGGTAACTGAGGCGAAACAGGCGCCCTTGAGGCCTCCTCAGCCCCCCTCCCTGGACCCAGAGCCCAGGAAAGCATGAAACAGCCCTGGGCTTTTGCTTCTAGATGCATCTTTTGCCCTCAGCTCCTTTGAAGGCTTTTATAGCTCATATCAGGGGGTATATTAACTTGCTCCCCTTCACCAGGACAACAACTTTAAGAGGATTTCAAAGGGAAAATAGTAGAGAGAATGGCCTCTGAGGCGTTCCCTGCCCGGCACCAAGGTGAGGGAATCACTTTGCATCTTCCTGCTGTGGTGATACAAAGTAGGTAAAAACATCTGGTGGATGTCTGGCCTAGTTAACATCACCTGTATGTGCCTCCTGCACCCTCCCTCCCCCCAACAAGCCTAAACTTCGGGTCTTCTTTCCCTCAGGAAGTCAGTATGAAGCGTGACTGGAAGCTGCTCATGATCTCATTGGGATCAGCTACCTGTGTGACGGCCGCGTTAACTGGGCAGGCTGGCCATAGTGCCCAGGGGTCACCTCGCTCCTGGGAGCCGCACTGGTGAGCAGGCCTGGCTCACACGTGCTGAATGACTCTGCAAAGCAGCCTCCCAGCCCCCAGAGTGTCTGGACACACCTGCTCTTCAGGCACCGCTGAGGAGGTGGTCTCTCTCCTGCACATGATGGTGATTGGCAAGCCCCATCCCAAACCTGCTTGAGGTCCCTGCCTATTTGGGGGTTTTGGTTTAAGAGAGGTTTCACAGGGGAGGCTGAGCAGTGTCACTGAACCAGTCCTGAAGTATGGTTCGCTGCCTTTCAGGCATCACGAGTCAACCAGCCCCAGCTGGCCTGGAGCCCACCATGCAGGCTGGTGAGAATCACCTTGCCCCACACCGTGTTTGCTCTTTCCCTTACTTCTCTCCCTTATTGCCCAGTCTCTGGAAGCAGAAATCACTCAATCCCATGGGGATTTAAATGTTTTTGTGTCCTGGGTGAAGTGGGGTCCAGGAAGTCAGAACTGACCCCAGAATACCTGTCCCTCATCAGACATTGAGAGTATGTTGTCTGTGAAGGCCACCCCCGGAATGAACTCAGGCCATTTTTTAGGAAAGGGCTACATCAGCCTCCAGCTGGACTGAAGCACAGGGATAGACGTTGGGAAGCAAAGAGCAGGGTCCAGGCAGCATGGGCTCCAGCCCAGAGGAAGAGCACATGGCCAGCAGCGTGCTGTTCTGGAGGGACTCAGCCTGGCCTCTGGGCTCGAGACACCATGGGCAGATGGGATTGTTCCTGGCTCCACGTCAGAATTAAGGGCTGGATTTTTACAAGAGACTTTGTTCCAACCCACAACAAAGGTTTCCGAGTCCACCCAGTGCCACCACAGCCCCTCTGTACCGGACCACCACTCTGCCTCAAAGTGGAGCCCAAGAGTTGAGGAGCGCCCCTTCTTCACAGAATGACTATGCTCAGCAACTCGAACAGGCCCTGGGCTACCTCTCCAGCAAGGTAGGGAAGCAGCTGTGTGCGCCTAGGCCCCATTTTCTGCAGCCCTGCTCCCCCCACTGGGGGTTGCCTCCCTGGGTGCTTCTGGGCAAATTCGTGTTCTGAGAGCTGCGTGCAGAGCCCCCTGGGTGTCAGCTGATGGACTGGAGCAGGGTGAGCGGCTGCTGTGTCCCTCTGTAAGGACACACCGGTCAGGTCGGGCATTACTGTTGGGTGCCAAAGAGCTGGTCTCTGGAGCTCCAGACAGTGCCTCACAAGCAATGGGACTTCAGGTGTCTCAGCTTTCCAAACTGGGGCAGCAAAGAAGATTCAGTGAGATAATACCAGCCATATCCCCGCTCTGAGTCTCAGTATTTTATTGGTAAAATAGGGAAAGGGAAGTCAGCTTGCAGATGATTCTGCCTTCTAGCAAAATTCAAAGCCCCTCCCCGCCATAACCGCCTGGGGATTAATGAAGCCCACCCCTCTGCTCCCCACAGCTTCCAACGTCTTTGGTCAACTTGATGGAGTCAGTGGACATAATTAGCATGGGCAAAACCCAGACAGGACTGCTTTGGAAGTAGGTGACTGACCTGGTACAGCAGGACTTAGCTGACAAGAGAAACACTGATCAAATCCTGGCTCTGTCATTGCGCTGTGTGACCTTGCAAATGGCACATCCCCTCTCTGGGCCTGTGAAGTCTCCTTGTGAAGTAGATGTGATGTCTAGAGGGGATACATCTAACAGGGGCCAGGCTCACAGTAAACAGGAGATTTTAGAATACTGGGTCACCCAGTGTTCATGGGGGGTCAAATAGGTTTATTGGAAAGGTGACTGGTGGGACCCTGGCCCCGGGGTAGTGTGGCTGGGGGTAGGAGGCATAAACAGCTTCTCCACAGTCTTGCACGCTACCTTGTAGGGTGGTTGGCCCTTCTAACTTTCCAGGAGACACCACACTCTGGAGCCCAAAGGGCGAATCCGTAGCAGCTAAAGCTGGGTGGCCTCGGGATCATGAAGAAAGGTAGATCAATCACCATAGCCTCCTCTGTGGGGTGCTCCAGGTGCTGTGGGCTAAGGAAGGAAAAGTCAAGCCATCCCTGAGGGGAGCCGGCACTGGGTGGCAGCCCCTAAGTCACCATGCTGTGGCCTGGCTGCGGGAGGGAGTCCCTGTGGGTAGGTTCCTATGTGTGTCAGCTGGGGTAGGGGCTGGTGTGCGACCCAGGCAGTCTCCTCCATGGGGTTCCTCTTCTCTCAGGCCCAAATACACTTGCCTCAGAGTCACTCCAAACCCCCCAGAGATGGAACAACTGAGAAAAGTGGACCAAGCCTTGCAGGTGAGGCCCCTTGACTTCCTGGGCCAGAATTCCCCACCTGTGTTCAGCAGGGGTGCTGAGAGCAAGTCCCTGAAATAGTTTTCCAGGCCGATTAAACCCCAGGCTGGGGAGGGAAGAAGGTGAGAATGCTTGCAAGGGAAGCTGGGAGAGCCCCCCTCAGGCCCCAGTGGCCCCAAGAAGCACCCTGTGGTAAGCATCTCCCCACCGGAGGATGGAGTGACAGGAGCAGTCACTGCCCAGGGCAGGGTGAGGCTTATGTTCCGACCTCCCCGGCCACACGTTCTACCTTTTCATGTCGGCCTGCTGTGGGCCCGCCCTGGGTCTTTCTGCAGGCCTGTGATGTCTTCTGACCTCTTCCAGGCTTCGGCTCATCTCCTCTCCTGCCCGCCCTTCCTTGACCCTAAAAGCCACTCAGGCTGCACAGCCTGTCTCACTGGCCCC